GTGAACTTTTCAAGGAAGTCTAGGTCAACGAGCTCTGGGGAGTCTGTTCCAATCGGTGACTCTCCGTTGAAAAAAGCTGTTCCTAAACACATCTCTGTGGCAGAATTAAAGGCTCTCCTAAATTACAAAGGAGGATGTGATTCGAGGAAATTGTAAATTATTTCGCTACATCTCAATCTAGCTATATATATGCACTTCAAAAATAAAATCAAAGCTGTTGACATTTGACTACAAGGTGCATCAAAACATTACAGCATTTATTTATACTATAGGACAGCCACAGCCATATTCTATAATTTCGACATTAAAATAAGGAAACTTTTTTTGCCCCTTAAACAATTTGTTGCACGCAACCGGCAATGCTCTGAAGAAATGTGTTTCCCCACGCACAATCATGCTCTGGTGTACATCGCCTATGAAATCAACTAATGTTTTCACACGTGTGAGTCAGAGATAAAATTAAATACCAGACTGCTCAGAATGATGCTCGCAACTTTTGCATGTTTGCACATGGCTCCCGCGATAATTCGTCAATGTGGACATCTCTTTTAGTGGCATTAGACAAGGAGCACACGATATGCACTCATTCATTGCCCTCAAAGTTGATTGTTCTGCTTAATAGACTACTTCCATAAAGCCCTGCATGCAACACGGCGCGCGTTGCACTCTGGGAACTAGTTGGCCCTCCTCCCTGGCCAACTAGCCAGGGAGGAGGGCCATGGCATGGTTTCGGTTTCGATCGACACGTCGACAAGAGATTGTTTTCTGGTCCCGAGAGCGTCATTTGTGGTCTCTAAACTAACCTAAATGGTCAGACCTCGAGGCTTTAGCACAAGCCCGAGACGTATAGCTTGTCTTAACACATGCTTGTTGTATTTTTGTACTTGAGCCTTCCTGTTAGCGTTGCAATCGAGGTATGTGGACGAGCCAGTGCTGGGAGTCTCGACGCTGCGAAGCTCGGGTGCTCGGGGATCTTGCTTGTGTACGAATCAACAAGCTGTAGCAAACAATAAGTATGCATACATCGAGCTCGCGCCTTTACATTAGTGTTGTTGATCAGGAAGTTTGCTTCGTGCGTCCATTGACGAAATATTACTTTTTGCAATTACTGTTTTTCTTAATGTGCCTGAGTATGCGAGGTAAAACTCGGAGGTGCCATTGAAAAGCTCAATTTTAACACACTTATCTCTTATCTGTACTGACCCGCAGCACTGCACGAAGTGAAGTCCCCACCCACTTGCATTCCACTAATATTCAACATAGCGTATGCGCATAAAGTTATCCTGCAATCATATAGGGAAATTCGCGCATACAGACCGTTTTAAGAATGCAAAAGTCGAGCACTTGTGTGAAGAATGTCGCACCGTTCGCCGGAAGTGCGTCAGACGGACATGAACCCCTATGCGCACCGCATTGGGGTTCATGCCCGTCCGGCGCGCGGTGCGACATTCTTCACACAAGTGCTCGAACGAATTCAAAGCGCATTTGACGGTTGCTAATGGCCATAATATTTGTTATGCGTTTGCTTTCTTCTTGCCTGAGTATGCCGAGATAATTTCAGACACACCGTTCCCGGCACAAATCTCGGGCGTCAGTAAAAGCTCGTCCAAAAAGGCTTAGCGAGGAGTAGGGGGGACGCTTGTTAGGGCCTCCGTCGTAGCTAGCCGATCTCAGCGTTTGCGGAAAGTTAATCTTCTGTCAGCATAAAATTTGAGTGGGAGATATATGATGACACGAGGAAGACATCATAGTAACTTTTGTGCAGTAGTGAGGTCGAAACGCTGGCCTCAACTTTGATACCCTGTGAGGATGCGGCTTGTTTTTCGCCCAATGAAGTAACAAGAAGCGGACGTTTGGCAAACAAAATGCGTGTAAGGCTCCAGACGAACAAATTTCAGTTTTAGTTCACTGGTACTAGACGGGATTACTGACATTGAGCTCAAAGATGCACTCGTCGGGTGAGGTGACTAAAACCACGACTTACTACGTTCGCATACGCACGCACAATATCCGGTGTTTCGGGAACCAAGGAAAGTGCCCCGGTCTTCGTTTTGTATCGCTCGAGAATGAGTGTATTGTACGTTCGTGAAAAGTCAGATAATCGAAAACGCAAGCAGCGCGTTCGGTCGCGGCGTGATAGCATGAGATGAAGCTGCTCAGTCGAAACCGGAACTGAGTGGCCAACTAGTTCCCAGAGTGCACTGCGTGGTATTTCGCCGCAATGGGGCGCGTCGGTTTTGGAAGAAGTCCATTCTAGGAAGCTTGGAAGGCTCATGAAGTCTCTTGCTGCTCCTTTTGTAAAGTTGAGTCCTAATGTTAAAAAAGGTTTTTTAGTGACACGTAATCAAACTATAGTAGTTTTAATTTCCTGCCCTTTGTTTCCAGGACTATCCGGTGTGGCTGCAGTTTTCTGTCTACCCATACTAATTGCTTTTTTTACACGCGGATATACATTATGTGAGCAAATGCGACTTGTAGTCTTTTGTAAAGTAGCAATGTGTACTCGTTCCTCTAAGTTTCATACTGAGAGTCAGAAATAAATGCAGATCAGGTAGTCTGAAAGCAGGGTGCAAGTACGAGGTTTCCTCGTGCCTGAGCAAGTATTTCTGGTGCTCATGGTGAGGTTCAACCTCCTTATCTACCAATTTTGTCCTATGTTCAGCAGAACAGGTCTGTGCGAGATCTGGCAAAAGAAACTGGACAGATCAATTATGTCACTACAATTGAGGTACCTATCGTAGAAGCAGGATTATAGTTCAGTTCATAATGGAAGCTTAGAAGCAGATTTCCTATCATAATAATGAAATAATTTAGTTTTAATACTCAAGGTTGTCAAGAGTTGGGTCGAAGACGACTTCAAGTATCTCTTCCAGCGACAACTCCTGGCCATTTGTCGGTACAACCACATAAAGTAACTTTGCATGGAGGCAAGAAAGTTTTCCGGTTTTATCATCCTACTCCATCAATATCTACATAAGTCACTACAACTCCAGGAACTCAGGACTGAAGTAACAGCAAACTTTACTAATGAATATTTTTAGGGTATTGAAACACATCAGGTTAGCTCAAGGAACTGAATTTTGTTTCTAACCTTTTTGCATTATAACATTTGTGTAACTAAAGCAAGGGTGCAGGCGAGCTGGTTCAATACTGACATGGTAACCCTGGAGTCGGTGAAAAGAAGGGACGTAGGACAAACACAAAACTCCAAACACAGCTAAAATGTCATTTCACAGTCGCGTCCTTAAGTAGACCTAGAAGGTGCCTGCTGATATCATGTGTCCGCGTTCTGCGGTTCATTATGTCGAACCTTCAGTCTCTGCTTCGCTTGGGCGTACGTAGTTTTTTTTTTTTTTTTTTTTGTTGTGAAACCTCTTATGTCTGTGTCGCTTGGTCGTAGGTCTACTTAAGGACGTGACGGTGAAATAAAATTTTAGCTGTGTTTGGAGTTTTGTGTTTGTCCATGCTCCAGGGTTCCCATGTCAACCTTTGTGGTTTTTCCTATTCTAGGGCCAAATTTTAAAGCTTTTCAAAGCAGTAGAGGACGGTGACCTAAAAGAATTCGAAGTTCTGAGGACATGCAACTCGCCAGTATTCAGAATGAACCTTTGCTGGGAATCATGTTCAAAAATAAGCTGAGAGCAGGCTTTTTTTTTTTTTAAAAAAGATGCCAGTTAAGGTGTTTCAAATATCATTACAAAATATTAGTGGACAAAAATATAGAACCGAAAATCCTATCAGTTGTTGGGTATTAAATGTTATTCCTGGGATCCTGAAAGTTTGTCCCACAGAGGTGTTTGTACATTGGTTATTTTCTTAGGCTGCAAAATCACTCTGCACGCCTTAAGCACCCAGGAAAACCCAAGGTTATGAGTGTGCAGCCTTTTTCCCTACTAAAATACGACTAAAAACTGGGACATGTTCCTTTCTCTAGAGATATCTCAGTAAAGGGACTTGTCACAATGTTTGGTTGCGTTTTTAATACAGAAAATTATAACTTTAGATTTTAAGGATCCCTAGATTGAGTTATCGCCATAAGAAGATGACCTCAGTATCCATTTTAGCACATCTCTAAGCAATCAGATGAAAAAGTGAAAGCCGTTTACAACTTCCTGTAACGCCGAATTGGAGCGCAGCTCTTGAGGAGGAGGAGTGGAGGGTATATTCCTCCTCCTCCCTCGTGATCATGCCTGCTAGTCCTCCTCCCCTCCTGCTCCCCCTCCCTCTCCTTTACCACCTCCTCGTCCTTAAGGTCCTCCCCTCCCCTCGCCTCCGCCTCCTCGTCTCTCCTCCCCCCGTCCTCCACCTTCGTACTGCTTTCCTCCTTGCCGCTCAAGCCGGAAAGGGTCGCGTAAGATCTGTGCTCTGAAATATAGAGTCAGGACAAATAATTTGGAGGGTTGAAATTTTATTGATTGGGGAAAAACCGTGGTGTATATTGGAAACTGCGTTGCATATCCGGCCAAGGTTTACGCTAATAACGTACAAAGCCAACGTACGCAATTGTTATACCAATGTACCTTAAAGTTTGCTCCGCGAGTTTCCAATTTACGTCCTGGATGAAAACCCCATTATTAATTTAACTAAACCGCCATGATCAGCCGCCGTGGCATGATGTTCAGCAGCCTCTCCAGTGTAGCAGCCAACCAGGACATGAAAAAAAAAGCATGTAGTTAAGCAGTGGGCAAATCTTCCCAGGGTTTATGCTTGACATCCACGCTTAGACAGTTGGAAGTTAAAATGCTGCCTACCTTTTTTTGTCTGCTGTGCGTAAGCAGCAAAACTTTTCAGTTCTAAGCTTACAAGGGTTTCAAGGTGACGTGATCACCAGACTAAAAGTGTGATGGACACTGGAAGATGGGCACTCGGCCGAGTATAATATAAAAAAGAAAACACTTATAATAAGTGAAACAAGCGTAAAAAAAGACACTTTAGAGAAGCTACAGGCAGGCACACCATCTTAAACTTGATAAGGGACTTACCCCAAACATGGTGTTGTGATTTGTTTAGATCTGACGCAAGATGAACTTCAATACTTGATGATGAAACAGGGTCATGAAAGTCGTCACATGCTTGGAACACACCTATAATAAATGTAGGGAAGCCGGTCTGAACTGTGTTAATGACGTTTACAATGTTTTCGTCGAACGTCTTAACAATGCTGTCGGCCATGTTAAATTCGAATGAAAAATATTCAAGCTCTAGATACTTAGAGTGTGTAGTTCCAGTAGCAAAGGAAGGAAGAGGCCCCGAGCTATGACATTCCCTAAGTTCCAAATGTGCTCCAAGCAAGGGGGGGGGGGGGGGGCGGGGGCGAGAGGGAACGGAGGGGAGGGTATGCCCCTCCTCCTCATCCGTACTCTCTCGTCGTCCCCTTCTCCTCCTCCTGTGCTCCTCCTCCTCTTTTGAGGTATCTCAATTTTGCGATATACCGCACTGAACTATGTAATATATTGTGGTATTTTTGCTCACCGCTTGTACGGAGAAAGGGAATATACTTGTCAGATCTGGAAGCTCCAATGTGATTTACGATTGATGAGACCACTTGCTTGCACAACACGTATCTGGCATCTCCTCTCCTCCTCCTCCTCAACCTCACCGTCCTCCTCCTCCTCTTCGTCTTGTACGACTTGCACGCTCCAACTGATAACGAAGCTGGTAGATGCTCCTCCGAGTGGCCCGCCTAACACCTCTCAAGGTACGCAAGACCGTCGGAGGGAACAATTTCCCAGCTTTCGTTCTTCTCCTCCTCCTTTCTTCCTAGCGTGCAGTGCATATCGTCGCCAAAGTTCGGCGTCCAAAATCCCCACAATATATACAAATATAGAGCAAGCTCCTCCTATACTGGTGCTTTAAATAGCACTCTTATCCCAGTCCTTGATTGTTATGAAGGAAGCCTTGTGATCTGAGAAGTGGCAGGATATGTGTTCCAGGTGATGGACCAAAGGCTGATTTTGAAAGACGAGGTCTATGCACGTGTTTCGAGAGGTCGTCACAGCGGTGTGAGCTGTTACGAGGGAGAGAAATGGGAGGTTTTCCTGCATAAGTGGTATGAAGTTCTTATCCTTCTTTAAGTCTGCATTAAAGTCCCCCACTACTAACATGGGTGTGGACCCACGTGTGCTTAACGCAAGTCGCAGAAAATGCACGATATCTTTGGTGAGTGCTGTAGGCGAGATATACAGAGCCACCACTACCAAGCCGTTGTCGAACTTGGCGCCACAAAGTTCTCCAACTTCGTCTGACGTTCCAAATATCTCGATGGGTACGGCAGACAGACCCTTACGCACGTAGATGGCCACCCCTGCCGCTCTGTTGTGCTCTCTACTGACGCCGCAGCAGTACTGGTAGTCCATGATTTCTACCGCCTGTTTTGGATCCATCCACGTTTCCGAGAGGCAAAGTACAGATGCATGGCGTAGGACGGGGTCGTGGTGCACGTCCTTGGAATGCGCCGGCAGAGAGCGAACATTAAGTGCGGCGACCGAGAACAAGTGCGGTTGCTTAATCATTGCGTAGCACTTAGCAGTGACAGTTTGGAGTTTGTGTGACTGCAGTCGACGAAACTCATCAAGAAGTACCCTGTCGGGATTGGGCTTGCCGTGGTAGAACGTAAAGTCATTGTCCACATTGGTGAGGTAGAGCCCGTTGATGTCTGTAGCACGACTCAGTGCCACGTATACCAATTTCTGTGGATGACTTTTGGCATACGAGTACACCACGTTTTCATACGTGCCTCCCTGTGATTTGTGAATGGTGATAGCACTTGCTTGCACAACGGGTAGCTGGCATCTCCTCAGGGATATCCTTGACTTCTTATCAATGACGCAAGTGACTGTGCGTCTTTCGATAGGTGTCCAATTTTGCTGAATATTTCTGTCGAGTGCCCGTAACTGCCGGGATTTTGCGGCCGCTACGGTTCCTATCGCAATTTTGGAACCAAGCTCACCGAAATGCAGCCAGATGCGTTCCGGCTCTCGGAGCGTATCGTATTGTATGTACTGCAGTATTCCAACAGAGCCATTGACCAGACCATCGGAAACATCGACATTGAGTGTGAGCATATATGGTTTTCCAATGCATAGCATTATATTAGCTGGCAGGTTTCCGAGTTCGGCCTTGGGCAGCGTTTCGGCCTTGCGCATTGCCTCTGTCTTCTCCTGCATAGACCTGAATCCAACGATTGTGTCCCGTGCCGGACATGCCACAGAATTATCTTCGGTTGCAATGGCCGTGTTCGTATTGTAGTAGTCCGATTCCTTGTTGGAGTAGTACAAGCGGATGCCACCGGGACAACACGTTTCTGCTTGTTGTTGCGTGACGAACCGACTCTGGATCAATGCGATTTCTTCGGAATCCAATTCTGCACCGTCTCCAATTTTGGTAAGTATGGTGGAAAACCTGAGATCGCTTTGCCTTACGACCTTCGTGAGGACAAAGTATGACAAATGGTGCCATGCGATTTCCGTGTTAAACACACTGTTTGTCTTGACGCGCTTGAAAACCTCGGCGGCACGAACGGGGGGAAGCTGGCGCAGGTCTCCGCAGAGGATGATGTCTAACCCGCCGAAAGGCTCTAGATATTTGCAAGTGATGATGCGGAGTCGCGAGTCCACTTTCTGAAGGATGTCGGCGGACATCATGCTAACCTCATCGATAATCACGCACCTGACGTTCCTGAACGCATAGCGGAACGTGTTCAACTCGTTGTCCCGGAGTCCGCCATCCCTATTGATGGTAAGTCTGAACGCTGCATGTACAGTTATTCCACCAAGCGCGACCGCCGCTTTTCCAGTTGTAGCACAGGCAACATAGGCGTTTACATTATCTGAACCAGCAGGGTTGCAATATCTGTTGTAGACGTCCATGATGAGACGCAGTACAAATGTCTTCCCACATCCAGCCACTCCCGTGAAGAAGATTTGTAGTGGCGGGGAGTCCGGTATAGTGAGTCTATGCACGACTTCTCGGACGATCTCGTACTGCTCCTCATTCGTCTTGCGCATTGTGTCCAGGTATTGATCTCTGCTCATGACGTCTTGGCGCGTGCACACGGCGGGGCACTGCTTAAACGGGGCATTGGATTGGACCATACCGATGTCTAGGAGATCGGAGTCGTCGTTTTCCATGGCCATCGGGTGCAGTCTCACATCTGGGAGCTCAGAAGTGGCACAATGTTCCCCGTCATTTGACTGGAGCATGGAATTACAAACGGCACGAATTTGCTCAATGTCTACGTCACTGTGGTACCGTGCCTTGTTCTCTAGAATGACGTCGATGTTTTGGTCATACAGACGCTCGAAACAGTTTTGGTCTAAGATGTCAACTTCTTTGCGGAATGGATAGAAAAGCAGGACATGTTCTCGCTTGAAGTTGACTGAATCGTCTACGGAGTAACCGCGGTAGCGAAGTATCCGTCGCTGATTCCTCTTTTTGTAGGTATATATGTTGTACTCGGTAGCGAACTCTGCTAGAGTAACAGGTTCCAATTCGGGAATGCGGTCTTCGTAGCGCTCGATCATCGTCCGTTTCCATACATCAGTGCTTGATTCTACTAAGCCTTCCTGCGCCATCTGAGCGTTAGACTTCCGAATGCGCGTCCTTTCCTCGGGCCATGCAGAGTTCACGAAGACAACTTTGCGACTCGCCTCCGACATATCCTGGTTGAGCAAACACCATGCGGCCTCCTGTGCGGACAGTTCAAAGGCATTCAACATTTTCACACCTAGATGTCTCAGTGCCTGAGAATAGGCCATATCCCCCTTCTCCTTGACAATTTCTTGCACTGCTCGATTGAGGTTCGACATACCTCGGTTGGCCTTGTTTACATATTCCACCACGTAGGCAGCACACGCGTACGTGTCGAGGACGATCTGAAGATCCATGTTAGAATCGAGAATTGATGCAACCCATGGGTTAAAGTAATTCACCCACTTTTGCTGCACAGTACGGGGTAGCATGATGGTGGCACGAGGAGTGCCTGCTCGGAGAACAGAAATGTACTCCGCCTTGTCCGCGACACCGTGATGTTCCCAAAACTGCTCCATGGAGTCATAATTTGTCGTTTCCAGGGCCTGATGCATGGCCTCGTACTTGTTTAGGAGGCTCTCGATTTTCTTCTTCTGCGCTTCATTGTCCACAGTGGGGAAAGGCACTACGACCATACATTCATCGATGGGCATAAAAGGCGCGTTAAAGCGGCATCTGGTGGTGTTGTGCTTGTAGCAGGTATGCGTGTGTTGGTGCACCTGAGTCCGCTCCCGCTTCAAGCATCCGTTGTCGATGGAAAGCAGAACGTTGGCTATTTCAAGAGTCTGGGGCATGAGCATCGAGAGCTCCTCGTTGGGCGCGTTATGAAGCCAAAGGAGAATGTGCGCGTGTGCCGACCCGCGGTGCTGAAATTCGATCCGCTTAAAGTAGTCGACGACTATGTACGGCCTAAAAGGCGATACACGGGTGTTGCGGAGAATGTTGAGAATGACACGCACCAATCGGTCGAAATATATGGCACAGACCACGGGATCGTCATTTACTAGCTGTGCTCGATAAATGCTGTTCATTTGCTCCAGTGGTACTTCGATCTCGCCGGGCTTCAACCGAAGGCGTTGAAGCAACTGCAAAAGGTCGGGCCAGTGCATTTCCGAGGCAGAAAGAGTGAGGAACGCGGTCGGCTTACCCAACTGCCGTATCATAGCAAAGAGGTCTTTCTTGTGTTTTGTCCAGTACTGCACGGTGTTGGGAATACCATGCATGAAAGCCATGTCGTGCTCGACCGCTTGCTGCACAAAATCCTTGTCGAGCAACTGTTGCTTCGTTAGTGTTTCCAGTGCCTTTATGTTACGGAAGGCCACACACATGTCACCGGCTACTCGGTGCCTAAACACTTTCATGGCCATGTACAGTACGTGCTGCGGGGTGGCCCCTCGACGGTCTGATCTGCGGATCTCACTCATGGCGTGTGTGAAGACTGTCGGTTTTGCGCTGGCATCTACTCGGCGCGGCTCACCGAGATAGATCTGTGGGAACGAAAGCTCCTCTGAGTGTTCGTCATAAAGTATGCTCACGGGCCTTTTTCCCTCACCTGGCGCAATCGCTAGAAACTTGTCTTCGTCCCATACGAGAGTGTGCTGAGCCAGAGTCATGGCTGTAGCCACTTGGATCGGATCGTTGAGGTCTGAGCATTGCGGGAGCAACTCGACCTCGTCGGGTTCGTCCACTTCTACGATATCCCCCAAACGGGCAAAATCGCACTTTATATTATAATGCTTGTACAGCGTGCTATCACACAGCAGCTTAAGCCACGGCAGCAGATCACATTTTTTTACTGCCCCTGCCAGGTAGGTCGTCTTCGCAAGCATGCGCCGCTTCAAATGTACATTGAGGGCTCGGTCTTGTTCGATGGCACGAGGCAACATTGTCACCATGTCGTCCACATCAACACAGACGTTCACTACTGGTCCCTTAATGCCGTGTTGACCTGCACCGTGCATCAGCCGTCGCAGTTGCATGAAAGGAATTCGTAGAGATATGAGTCTCTCACTCACCGCGTTCAATTGTGGGAGGTGGGCTGGCTTCGGGGGATATACATAACCGTTACTTGAGGAAAGATGAGGAATATGACCCTTGTGCACTGATTGTATGCAGGTCGAGCACAGTTTGAATTGGGTTAGGTCCGAGTTTGGAAATGATTGCTCTAGGGTCTCGTGACATCTGTCCGGTAGCGGTTGCAAGTCGTTTTGGAACCAGAGCCGGTCACAAACTGAACATACGCTCCCAAACGGGTTGTCTCTAAACAGCCGTTGGAAAATTTTTGTTGCACCGTCAGGCTTAGCGATCCTTGCCTTTTGCTTGGCTTCCGCTTCGGCGGCGCTCACTCCTGGCTGCTCTCGGCGGCGGCGATGAGCCTCTGCCTCGGCGTCGCGCACTTCCGGGTCCTCTCGATAGCGGCTTCTGGCTTCCGCTTCGGCGGCGCTCACTCCTGGCTGCTCTCGGCGGCGGCGATGAGCCTCAGCCTCGGCGTCGCGCAGTTCCGGGTCCTCTCGACGGCGGCGCTTAGATTGAGCTTCAGCAGCGCTCACTTCTGGCTGCTCTCGGCGGCGGCGATGAGCCTTTGCCTCGGCGTCGCGCACTTCCGGGTCCTCTCGACGGCGGCGCTTAGATTCAGCTTCAGCAGCGCTTACTTCTGGGTGCTCTCGGCGACGGCGATGAGCTTCTGCTTCGGCGTCGCGCACTTCCGGGTCCTCTCGATAGCGGCTTCTGGCTTCCGCTTCGGCGGCGCTCACTCCTGGCTGCTCTCGACGGCGGCGATGAGCTTCTGCTTCGGCGTCGCGCACTTCCGGGTCCTCTCGATAGCGGCTTCTGGCTTCCGCTTCGGCGGCGCTCACTCCTGGCTGCTCTCGACGGCGGCGATGAGCTTCTGCTTCGGCGTCGCGCACTTCAGGGTCCTCTCGACGGCGGCGCTTAGATTGAGCTTCAGCAGCGCTCACTTCTGGCTGCTCTCGGCGGCGGCGATGAGCCTCTGCCTCGGCGTCGCGCACCTCCGGGTGGTCTCGA